GTCTATAGTCTAGTCTATAGTCTAGTCTATAGTCTAGTCTATAGTCTATAGTCTAGTCTATAGTCTAGTCTATAGTCTAGTCTATAGTCTAGTCTATAGTCTAGTCTATAGTCTAGTCTATAGTCTAGTCTATAGTCTAGTCTATAGTCTAGTCTATAGTCTAGTCTATAGTCAGGTCTATAGTCTAGTCTATAGTCTAGTCTATAGTCTAGTTTTATAGTCCAGTCTATAGTCTAGTCTATAGTCTAGTCTATAGTCTAGTCTATAGTCTAGTCTATAGTCTAGTCTATAGTCTAGTCTATAGTCTAGTCTATAGTCTAGTCTATAGTCTAGTCTATAGTCTAGTCTATAGTCTAGTCTCTAGTCTAGTCTATAGTCTAGTCTATAGTCTAGTCTATAGTCTAGTCTATAGTCTAGTCTATAGACTAGTCTATAGTCTAGTCTATAGTCTAGGACTATATTCTAGTCTATAGTAGTCATAGTCTAGTAGTCTAGTCTATAGTCTAGTCTATAGTCTAGTCTATGTTAGATAGTTAGTTTGAAAGGAGGATGTATATACATCAAATCCGAAGAAATACACCTAGGCCTCTATCAGGCCTGTTGTGCGCTCCTTAACCAGTGCCTCAGGTGGGAATCGAACCCTCCACCTCCGGTCTACCAGACTAGAACACTAACCACTAACCTACCGGAGGCCACTAGTCTATAGTATTGTCTACAGTTTAGTCTGTAGTCTAGTCTATAGTCTAGTCTATAGTCTAGTCTATATTCTAGTCTATAGTCTAGTCTATAGTCTAGTCTATAGTCTTGTCTATAGTCTAGTCTTAGTCTAGTCTATAGTCTTGTCTATAGTCTAGTCTATACTCTAGTCTATAGTCTAGTCTATAGTCTAGTCTATAGTCTAGTCTATAGTCTAGTCTATAGTCTAGTCTATAGTCTAGTCTATAGTCTAGTCTATAGTCTAGTCTATAGTCTAGTCTATAGTCTAGTCTATAGTCTAGTAGTCTAGTCTAGTCTAGTCTAGTCTATAGTCTAGTCTATAGTCTAGTCTATAGTCTAGTCTATAGTCTAGTCATAGTCTAGTCTACGTCTAGTCTATAGTCTAGTCTATAGTATGTCTACAGTTTAGTCTATAGTCTAGTCTATATTCTAGCCTATAGTCTAGTTTATAGTCTACTCTATAGTCTAGTCTATATTCTAGCCAAAATTCTAGTTCATTGTCCAGCCAATAGTGTAGTCTACAGTCTACCCTTTAGTCTAGTTGTAGTCTAGATTAGTCTATAGTATAGTCTATAGTCAAATTGTCAAAAATATGAGTTTTTGGAGATTTTTACTCAATCTTAACAGTTTTTGCTAAAGTTAAAAAGTAATTGAGATGGAGAAATAAAGCTCAACATATAAATCTAACAACTTCATCCCCAATCATTACATTCACATTTGCAAATTCATCTTGGTGTTATAATTCCTTTAATTTTTTAGATGTTATTACCACTTACACTTCACATAATTTGCTTTACAGGTAGCGGTAGAAGAATGATTTAATTTAATTTTTAATTTAAATACAAAAACTTTACTCTGCATGTTAAATTTTTTTTATAAGTTTACATTACAATACTTAAGGTAACAATGTTTAAAAATTACTTTATTTTTTTATCTAAAAAATAACACCTTAAAAATTAAACATTAAACAATCATTAATAATACAAATAATATTGCAATTTCATTTAGGCCGTTTATCTGTTATGAGCACACAAACAAATCAAACGCTAACTAGTGTTAATATGAAGGATATTAACGATTTCAATATACCCAATTTAATGGATTTAGCACCTTTGAGGTAAGTTAGAAAAACATTAAGTTGTTTACAACGAATTGTTTGTTTTGGATTCAAAATGAACATGAGATAAAGATTTGATTTAATTTTTAAACTCTTTTCTTAAATTTTAGTAATACAACTGAAACCAGCACAAGTTCGGTGGTAATAAAATCTGTCATAACCAGCGTTTCGCATGAAAAAACCAATGGTGAAGCCGAAGTTATAACTACAAAAAACTACAACACACGAAGAAAGTCAATTCTGAAACAACAACAACAAAAACGTCTAATAATATATAAAATCATATATAGCGCACTGCACTTTAGAGATTAAAAACAAACAACAACAACAACTCACCTTTTTTTTCTGACGCCACCTGCTGCATGGTATAATCTATTTTAAATTTAAGTTCTTTTCGCCTTTTGTTTATGTTTCTTTCTCTTTGTTTGCAAAATCTATTGTCTTTAGATTTTCTTTCTGTTAAACTATGTTAAAATTCTATAGAAATTAGTTTTATACTTAGTTTTTAGTTTCTCTGTCCATTTTGTTTAGTTTTTTAGGTTCTCTCTATCACATTCACATTTTCATAAAAAAAAACACAAACAAAAACCCCAAACGGAAAACGGCCGTTTAAAATATTTAAAAACAAATCTATTCTATTCATTTACTTTGTACACATTTATTTTTTTTAACTTTTTAAGTATTACTTTTATTCTTTTAAAAGCACTTTTTCACTTGAATTATTTTTTACAAAAAAAAAGAAGAAAACATACATTTTATTTTATTTTTTTTTTACATGAGAAATTTAATTTTAAAAATCATTATTAAAAACAAACAAAAAATGAGCATTTATCATAAAAAAAAAATCATTTAAAAGAAAAAAACTTAAAGTACAACTCCGCAATTGCCTTAAGTACTTTTTACAAAACAAATTTTAAATAAATATGGCAATATGTATTAGTTTACTACTTTTCCCTCCTCCATAGTTTATAAAAAATATTGTCTCGTTGTTGCATATTCTTAAAATATTTCATTGTTCCGAGTTTCTGATATGCATTTCAAAATTTATTTGTTTTTTTTTTATCATACTAAATCAAACCATATTTTTAATATATAAAAACAAAAATGTATATCATCTAATACTAAAAATCAACAATTTGTATGTGGAATAATATTTTTGGACTTTTTATATAAAAATATAATTTTTTATATTTATATTAAACATAATAAAAAAAAATCGTTTAAAAACCCAAAAAATGTCACAATTTTCTTGTATAAACAATTTTAATGTTATGGAAAAGTAACTTTATAATTGGAAATTTATTTAAGTATTTAGTAGAGTCGTGTAGAACTCATCTCAATCTGCTATGTTAGATTAGTCTATAGTCTAGTCTATAGCCTATTCTATAGTCTAGTCTATAGTCTAGTCTATAGTCTAGTCTATAGTCTAGTCTATAGTCTAGTCTATAGTCTAGTCTATAGTCTAGTCTATAGTCTAGTCTATAGTCTAGTCTATAGTCTAGTCTATAGTCTAGTCTATAGTCGAGTCTATAGTCAAGTCTATAGTCTAGTCTATAGTATAGTCTATAGTCTAGTCTATAGTCTAGTCTATAGTATAGTCTATAGTCTAGTCTATATTTAGTCTATAGTCTAGTCTATAGTCTATTCTATATATATTCTATAGTCAAGTCTATAGTCTAGTCTATTGCCTAGTCTGTAGTCTAGTCTATAGTCTAGTCTATGGTCTAGTATATGGTCTTATCCATATTCTCTTCTATAGTCTAATCTGTAGTCTATTCTATAGTCTAGTCTATAGTCTAGTCTAATCTATAGTCTAGGCTATAGTGTAGTCTAATCTATAGTCTAGTCTATAGACTAGTCTATAGTCTAGACTTTATGTAAGTATTTAGTAGAGTCGAGTAGAACTCAGCTCAACCTGCTGTCTAATCAGCTAATTTATTTACTTACTTACTTACTTACATACACTTACTTACTTATTTACTTACTGACTTACTTACTTACTACTTAGTCGAGTAGAACGCAGCGCAACGCGGCGAAGCAGCGAAGGAGGACGGACGGAGGACGACAGGACAGACGGACGGACAGACGGACGGGACGGACGGACGAGACGGACGGACGGACGGACGGACGGACGGACGACGGACGGACGGACGGACGGACGGACGGACGGACGACGGACGGACGGACGGAGACGGACGACGGACGGACGACGACGGACGGACGGACGGACGGACGGACGGACGGACGGGACGGACGGACGGACGGACGGACGGACGGATGACGGACGGACGACGGACGGACGGACGACGGACGGACGGACGGACGGACGGACGACGGACGGACGGACGGACGACGGAACGGAGGACGGAGGACGGACGGACGGACGGACGGACGGACGGACGGACTGACGAGGACGGACGGAACGGACGGACGGACGGACGGACGGACGGACGGACGGACGGACGGACGGACGACGGACGGACGGACGGACGAGGACGGACGGACGGACGGACGGACGACTACGACGGACGGACGGACGGACGGACGGACGGACGGACTGGAACGGACGGACCGGACGGACTGACGGACGGACGGAGGACGGACGCCAGGAAGACGACTGGACTGACGGACGGACGGACGGAGGACGGACTGACGGACTTACTTACTTACTTACTTACTTACTACTTACTACTTACTACTTACTTACTTTACTTACTTACTTACGTACTTACTACTTACTTACTTACTTACTCAACCACCTACTTACTGACTTAAATAAAATGTCCAACTTTTTAACTACGAACATACCTTGCTTTTCAACCCCTGCCTAAAGTAGGGTACTAATATATAAAACAACCAGAAAACAAAGCATCATTCAGCTATCTACAAAATGATACACAGATAAGAGATACTTTTTATGAAATGTTACAATTCAATACTAACTTACTACCTACAACGCTCCCCCCTTATACGTGACTTTTATGCTGAACGAAAAAAAAACAAAAACAAACACTAAATATAAACAAGACATTTGAAACATTTGTTCTTTTATTTTAAACATATCAAAAAAAGAGACTTTTTAAATAAATTAAAAAAATTGCAAAAGACACGTACTAGGTATTCTTTACAATTCCCCACACACAGCCGTTATCATTATTTCAGTGTTAAGCGAGCGACAAGGTTTAAAACAAAAGAACGGTTTTAAATTAAAAAGTCTTTTAACGATTAATTGTCAACAACTGACAGTAATTCAAAACATTAAAACCCATAAAATTGAAAACATGAAATTCATATCAGCAGTTTTAATATTTTGCCTAACACATGCCCTTCTTCTTTGGTCTGTTGTTAGGCCTACCAACTCCATGCAAATTGAAAGTACTCTCAGTGAGAAAAGTACTAGTAAATGTATGTTACTATTTAAGAGTATTATCTACTCAGTTCAGTTAATCTTGTTGTTTCTAATTTGCATTTATAATTGTTGTTGGTGTTTTGTTTTTAGCTTGTTTGGAACCCAAGACTCCCGGTGTCTGTCGTGGAAAATTATTACGTTATGCCTATGATGACAAATCCAAAAGTTGTGTAAGTTTTTATTATTCGGGTTGTGGTGCCACACACAACAATTTTCTCACCTATGAAGAGTGCCGTCGTGAATGTATACCCCAGTCGAGATATTAAAGTTAATGAAAATTAAAATATTTAATTATGATTATGATTTCTTGTTAAAATTTAAATATTTCGAGTGTTAACTACCTTGAATGAAAATATATTTGTAATAGTAATAATAATGTTATTTTGAAGCAAACAAATTAAATTGTTTTAAATAAGTGTCTGTTTTGAGAACAAAATTGGAGCTAGGAGTGTAAAATTTCCAGTTGTACAAACAAAAATTTAAAATTTGCAAAACAAAATTTTAAATGTTTACAAAAACATATCTTCAGCTAAAATGCATAATAATGTAGCAATAGCTTAAATTTTTAGATCTTAAGCAGAAGTAAATAAGTACGTAAGTAAGTAAGTAGTAAGTAAGTAAGTAAGTAAGTAGTAGTAAGTAAGTAAGTAAGTAAGTAAGTAAGTAAGTAAGTAAGTAAGTAAGTAAGTAAGTAATAAGTAAGTAAGTAAGTAAGTAAGTAAGTAGTAAGTAAGTAAGTAAGTAAGTAAGTAAGTAAGTAAGTAAGTAAGTAAGTAAGTAAGTAAGTAAGTAAGTAAGTAGTAAGTAAGTAAGTAAGTAAGTAAGTAAGTAAGTAAGTAAGTAAGTAAGTAGTAAGTACAAGTAAGTAAGGTAAGTAAGTAAGTAAGTAAGTAAGTAAGTAAGTAAGAGTAAGTAAGTAAGTAAGTAAGTAAGTAAGAGTAAGTAAGTAAGTAAGTAAGTAAGTAAGTAAGTAAGTAAGTAAGTAAGTAAGTAAGTAAGTAAGTAAGTAAGTAAGTAAGTAAGTAAGTAAGTAAGTAAGTAAGTAAGTAAGTAAGTAAGTAAGTAAGTAAGAAGTAAGTAAGTAAGTAAGTAAGTAAGTAAGTAAGTAAGTAAAGTAAGTAAGTAAGTAAGTAAGTAAGTAAGTAAGTAAGTAAGTAAGTAAGTAAGTAAGTAAGTAAGTAAGTAAGTAAGTAAGTAAGTAAGTAAGTAAGTAAGTAAGTAAGTAAGTAAGTAAGTAAGTATAAATAAGTAAGTAAGTAAGTAAGTAAGTAAGTAAGTAAGTACGTTAGTAAGTAAGTAAGTAAGTAAGTAAGTAAGTCAGTAAGTAATTAAGTAAGTATGTGAGTAAGTAAGTACGTAGTAGTTAGTTAGTTAGTTAGTTAGTTAGTTCTTTAGCACTTCAGTAAGTTAGTTAGTTGTTTAGTTAGTTCTTCAGGAAGTTAGTTAGTTAGTTAGTTAGTTTGTTACTTAGTTAGTTAGTAAGTTAGTAAGGTAGTTAGTTAGTTAGTAAGTTAGTTAGTTAGTTGGTTAGTTAGTTAGTTAGTTAGTTAGTTAGTTAGTTAGTTAGTTAGTAGTTAGTAGTTAGTTAGTTAGTTAGTTAGTAGTTAGTTAGTTAGTTAGTTAGTTAGTTAGTTAGTTAGTAGTTAGTTAGTAGTTAGTTAATTAGTTAGGTAGGTAGGTAGGTAGGTAGGTAGGTAGGTAGGTAGGTAGTTTATTAGTTAGTTAGTTACTTAGTTAGTTAGCTACGTAACAAAACAAGTATTGGAACAAAAAGAAGACTGATAGTGTGTATTCGTACCAACGTAACAGATGCGCATCGAAATGCAGAAAGTATATCAAAGTTGAAATTTGGATTCATAGGTAAATCATAATCCGTGGAATAGTCCTTGCACTATTCCATAGCCCGTTATAAGGTCAGTCCGTAGACATTCTAGACTTCACACTGTTTTTCTTTTTCAGAATTTATTAAGTCTTTTAATGATTTTTACATGAAAATGTTTTTTTGTAAAAATAAGTTGATCTTATATATTATTATACATTTATAAACGTTTGTTTATTTAAAAATAAGCAAAAATATTTCAATTTTAAAATTCTAATTTTATTTAAAAAAAGCCATTTAAACCTTCTAATGCGTTTTTATATAAAAAAATTTTGTATAAATAACAATTCAAGTTTTAAACACCAATTGAAACGAAAAACTTTAATAGATTTCACAATAATCATATTAAACACTAATATTGCATTAAAAGGTAAGATTTTTCTTTCATCATATAACTAATAGTTTATTGCATCCATGCTTTAATATAAAGTTTGGAAGACATTTTAATTTTAGAATCTAATTGAGAGAATAGGGTGAAAAAATAATAAAACAAATACAAAATTACATCTTAATTAAAAAAATATATGGCTTTAGTAAAATAAATCCGTTTTTTTTTTTTTTAAATATAAGTTTAGAAATCCTTATCCCAACCGGTAATGTCATCTGGTGGTGGTCCCTCTGGATCGGGAGGATAATCATCAAAGTTTGTGGTATCTGTGACACTTTTAACGGTGGGCCTAATGGGTGGTTCGAGAGTGCGATTTTGTAGTCCCCACCAATAGAAGCCATCAAACCATCTGTAAAAAAGAGGAAAAGTTTTATTTTAGTTAATTGCTATATTTGCAAGGTCTACAAGGGTTGTTTTCCAATGATAACTTACTTATGTTTTTGTATCTCACTTATGCCACCACGTTGATAACCCAATCTTTCTGCAGGATTATCCCGACATAATTTCTTAATAAGATTGCGGGCATTGCTTGTTATATTACGGGGGAATTCAATGGCATCGATACCTTTCAATATGATGTTGTAAGTTCTCATGGGATCAGAGCCGGTAAAGGGAGGAGTACCTTAAAGAGAACATTTTTAAATTGAAGATATTTAGAGCAAATGACTACAACAACTTACCTGTTAACAATTCAAACATTAAACGCCCAAAGACCAATAATCAGCACTAATGTCATGACCACGATTCAGTATAACTTCAGGAGCCACATACTCGGGAGTGCCACAGAAGGTCCAGGTCTTACGACCCGATTGCAGTTTCTTGGCAAACCAAAATCAACCAATTTAACATAACCCTTCTCATCTAGCAAAAGATTTTCCGGTTTCAAGTCACGATAGATAATATTACGTGAATGCAGATAATCGAAGGCCTCGACCACACAAGCTGTATAGAATCTGGTGGTTGAGTCATCAAAATTGCCTTTGTCACGTAATATAGTCCACAATTCACCGCCCAGACAACTTTCCATTAACATATAGAGATTATTTCTTGTCTCTAAATGTCTTAAAGAGTTTGACAATAAATTGACAATTGGCTTCACCCATAATTTCCTTTTCGGACATGATATGCTGCTGTTGTCGCGTCTCAACAATTTGAGCCTTTTTCATTTGTTTCAAAGCGAATGAACGATTCGTATCGCCATTGATTTGAACCAATTCAACGCGACCGAAACCACCTACACCCAAGGTAGCAATGACACGCAGATCCGTAAGATTAACATCACGGAATTCTTCATTGATCCTAAGAAAACGAAACAAAAAAAATGGAAATAATAAATGTTCATGTGTTCATGATGGGTAGTGTAAGGTTGTAAGTTACAATTCTTAAATGTTTCACTTACTTTCTTCTTTCCAGTGTTCCCTCATCATCATAGCGATGTTTAATTTCATCTAAATTCGATATTAGTTGATTAAATGTTTCACGATCAATAACCAAACAGGTGACACCATCGGGAGAATCACAAATAATATTGGCGGTACGCAGGTCATCCCTTTGGAGGAAAAAAAACAACAATAATGATAAAAGTCCTTTTTGTTATATATCCTTTAAGACAACTTACCCTTGCAAAGCCTTTTCGCCAAAGAAATCTCCCTTCGATAAGGTTCTTATAAACTTCTCCTCTTGGGTATTGGGCAGTTTAATTGTTACCCTAACCGTACCCTTAGATATAATAAAGAATGTATCTCCTCTGGCTCCTTGTCTTACAATATAATCGCCCTGCTGGTAATGGGTCTCTTCCAAAATATCCGAAATTTTAATAAGAGTATCTTCCTGGAGATTTTTAAATATAGGCACACTGTTTCAAATAGGAAGAAATCAAGAAAACAGGAAATCACATTAAAAAAAAAGCGAAAAATTTTATAAAATGTTAATTTAAAAAAAGTGAAATATGTTGTTTTTTTTTGTCTTGCTCATAAAATTATCTCATACATAGAGATACTCTACTCTTAACATCCTCAGTCATCGAACTTTTTCTATTTCAAGACCATCACCATCACCATCATCATCAACATCGTCATCAGCGTCATTATAAGTATACGCGGATGGATGGATAGATCATTGTGCAAGTATTTTTGCGTTTTTTTTTTTTTTTTTTTCTTAAATATTTATTTGAAAAAATATCAAACAGAAATAAGAGAGAAAGTTTTATTTGTAAACAATTTCAAACATCATTGCCACCAGTAACCAACTACTAACTACACGATACTGATGAATATGGTTGGGCTGACTCAGACTGGTTGGTTGGAAACTACGTTCATTCGTGGTAGGCCTTTAAGCAAACACAGTCAGACTAATACACAAATATGAACAAATAAAGCATCGTACAAACTGTTTTATAGAAGATTATGATTTTAGATCATAGACTATGGTCTAGACCATAGCCTAACTGCAGACTATACTTTAGACAAGACTATAGAATAGACTATAAACTATACCATAGAATATACTGTAGACAAGACAATAGACTAAACTATAGGGGAAACCATGTACTAGAATATAGACAAGAATATAGACTAGACTAAAGACTAGACATTATACTAAACTAAAAACTAACTTCAGTAGACTATAGACTTAAGACTAGGCTATAAACTTAAACTATAGACTAAACTATAGACTAAACTATAGACTAAACTATAGACTAAACTATAGACTAGACTATACTATAGACTAGACTATAGACCAGATTATAGACTAGACAATAGACTAGACAATAGACTAGACTAGACTATAGACTAAAAAATAGACTAGACTATAGACTAGAATATAGACTAGACTGTAGACTAGACCATAGGACTAGACTAGACTATAGACTAGACTATAGACTAGACTATAGACTAGACTATAGACTAGACAATAGACTAGACTATAGACTACTAGACTAGTAGACTATAGACTAGACTAAAGACTAGACTTTATACTAGACTAGTCTAGACAGAACTATAGGCTAGACTATACACTAGACTATAGACTAGACTTTATACTAGACTTTATACTAGACTAGTCTAGACAGAACTATAGGCTAGACTATAGACTATA